ATCAGATGTACTTGATGAATCTCGTGTAGAAGAGGCTGAAGAACCAGATGATGATGATTTGTGGTCATTCCATGATATATAATTTAATGAAAACATCAAATATTAGGACAGAACAATCCAGGGATGAGATACCAACGGATTTAAAACATTATTTGAATCAACCGCTGTTGGATCGCAAAGCAGATCCAATAAATTATTGGTTTCAGTACGAAACAATTTACCCAAAAAGTACAATAGCAAAAAAATATTTAGCGATTGGGACAACATCTGTGCCAGCAGAACGTGTATTTTCCAAAGCTGGGAATATTTTAAGTGAGCATAGAAATAGATTAACTCCGGAACATTTACAGCAATTACTGTTCTTAAACTCGCTTTCCATGAAAGAATGGCAGTTACATGATTAATAAAATGTTTAAAATAAACAGCAAAATATTTCTTTTCTTCAATACAATGTTCCTACACTGCACTTTACAGTTCCATTCATCTTCCTTTTATTACATCTCTTGTTTTCTGTATTTATCGTTTAATTCAGTAAATCTTTGAAAAATAATAGAAATCTCATTGTATCTTGTACCATATCATCACCAGTTATTAGTTATTGCACGTCATATATTTCTGCCCACCATTTATATAATCGCAAAGTAAGAAGCAAGCTGTAGAGAGGAATCACACACGTTATTAAAAATCCCTAGACCTAGTGAGCTGCGCGAGTTAAGTATGGTCTCTCGCTGAACGCGGTATATATGGTGATTCTTATAAATTCTCTTTTATTTTATATCGACTTTCTGATTTCAAATTTTTAGAAGAATCGATTTTTCTGATCCATAAAAACACATTCACTCCTAAAAGAAGTATAAGAATAGTGATTAAAATATAAACAATGTGGAGCGCCTGCTTTTGGTGTAAGAGTACGAAATATAAAAAAATAAAAGATCGATTCTTTACAATAATCGATGCCGCATAGAAGACTCGTATGGGATAGTCTGTTTACAAAAATGAAAATAAAAACGAAAACAAAACAAGTCAATTTTTTTCAAATCGATTCTTTTTAGATCGATTCTTGCAGAATCGATTCTTTGGTTTCGATTTTTTAAAGGAATCGATTCTCTCATTCCGATTCAGAATCGATTCAAGAATCGATTCTTTCCGGTGAATCGAACATCCCTAGACTGTACCTTCCCCTGCTGACCTGACGTTCAGTCGTCGGTGCTAGGCGGATTGCAGATTTCAGACGCTGTTTACTCGAATATTCAAACGTTAATTACTGAAAAACAAAGCCGCAAACGCTATTTCGTTATTCTTGATTTTCGTCTTATTTTGATCCCTAGAATCACCCCTTAAAATTTTGCCCACCTATTGTCGAACACCCTGTATATATGTACATATGCGTATAATGATATATTCTACTTTATCTTTCTTACATACCAGACGCTGTCTTCGGTGGTTCGATGATTTCTCGCTCGCTCTTGACTATCACACTTAAAACAAACACACACATGGTGTCGAACTCACTAATTGTCGCAGATTGATATAACGCTAGATGCGCGGCGCGTAGCTTCGACTCGACCTTAGAAGCAGATAAGGGTCGTGGTGGTCCTGCACGGGACGCGGATGCACTCCTGGAGCCGGTACAATTATGGGTCTGGCTGATCGGACCTCGGCGATATACTCGTGGTTTCTGTCGGCCGAGCACGGCTACTTCTTATGTTCTTCCAGGGTGGAGATGAGCTGATGGGCGCGGTGTCATTGAGCGTTACGTACGTGAATCCTAAAAGGCGCAAAACTGAACTTGAACTGAACTCGCGAGTCGCGCTGCACTGATCTTTTGTACCTCCGAAGATGGGCGTTGGACGAGCCTGTTGCTAGCGAGCAAAAATGCTAGCGAGGGGTTTTCGCTGTCCAGTTCCGAGAATTCGGTAGCTACTCGACTGGTGGGAACGCTGACGATCGCGGTTTCTTGAGCGAGTTTTTCGCGGAAAAGTGGAAGATGAAACTGAATATACAGGGTGTCTCAGCCGATTTTGACATCTTGATTTTCTCGGTATTGTGGCACGTAGTGAAAAATGTTTCATAGGGAACTTAAATGGTATCAAGCGGGGCATATTTTTGTGTTATTAGTTTTTTCGTACGTAGACCCGTCAAGGATACATGAAGGTTAACTTTGTTTTTTTAAATGGAGTGGAGTACTTTTTTATGCTTCCAACGATGCAGCTAGACATTCTTTATAAAAAAGTACTCACCTATGTATGTCGAAAAGCTGGTAGTTTAGGAGATATTTTAATTTAAATAATTCTAAAATTCGTACTGACATTAGCGTTTATTTACAAGTATGGTTCAACATAACGACCATTTGCATCACAGCATTTTTGAAATCGATGAAGTAAGGACTGGCCTACGTTATATAATGTAACGGCTGATATTTTGCCACATTCGTCGATAATACGCTTCATATCAGTCACTGTAGTTGAATCTTTCGCGTAAACTTTATCCTTTAAATAACCAGTCCTTAATTCATCGATTTAAAAAATATTGTGATGCAAATGGTCGTTATGTTGAACCATATCTGTAAATAAACGCTAATGTCAGTACGAATTTTAGGATTATTTAAATTGAAATATCTCCTAAATTACCAGCTTTTCGACATACATAGGTCAGTACTTTTTTATAAAGAATGTCTAGTTGCATCGTTTGATGCATAAAAAAGTACTCCATTCCATTTAAAAAAACAAAGTTGACCTTCATATATCCTTGACGCGTCCACGTACGAAAAAACTAATAACACCAGAACATGCCCCACTCGATACCATTTAAGTTCCCTATGAAACAGGTTTGGTAATTATGCACAAAAAGACCCCAGTCGCCGATGACCTTGACCTTGACCTTGGCATATGTTGTTAAGGTCATGACCCTGAGTAACCTTGACCTTGAGAAACGTGGCGGTCGCGATCCGTTCAAAAGTTACGAAGCATTAAAGTTTTTGCGGTTTTTTTCGGTGTTTATCTGCATGCAGTGTCGTTGATTTGACCAACTTCTGTCGGGAAGTAAGTAGAATAGAAAGTTATTATATTTTAAAACGTTGAAAATATTTTGTCCTTCTTAGGAAAAATCGTAAAGTTCGTGCTTTATAATTATATAATTACCAATTACATAAACAGATTACGGCGGCCGAAACCTAAGGAGTATAACGGGTGAACTAAAAAATCTAACTTAACTGATTTCAATGATTTTGAATTTTGACTTGCGTGGCCGGCCGCCGAACGGCCGTACGTGGACGCGTCAAGGATATATGAAGGTCAACTTTGTTTTTTTAAATGGAATGGAGTATTATTCTAACCTGACCGAACCTAATTCACTGTTTAACAAGTTCACTAATTTAATGTTGTATTAGATTAGATTAGGTTAGACAAAATTAATATTCCGATCGCCGTAAGGTGGTTGGCCACACATGCCAAAATTCAAAAAATGACTGCCGCTTGTCGTTTACTACTATTATAAACAACAACACTATGACCGGCAAGCAATATGTGCATGTGAGAAGTTACCAAAAGGCACCCGCGCCTTTCCCACCAGCCATCGATGGACATCTGGATTGCCCTTCACAATGGTTTCTTCCACCAGTGTCGGTACTATGGCCAAGCGACGGTGATATGTTTAGGAAAAGGTTGCTTAAAACGCGAAAAAAAGCGAAAATTTTAATGCTTCGTAACTTTTGAACGGATCGCGACCGCCACTTTTTTCAGGGCCAACGTTACTCAGGGTCATGACCTTGACAACATATGTCAAGGTTAAGGACATCGACGACTGGGGTTTTTTGTACATAATTACCATAGTTTTCACTACGTGCCACAATACCGAGGAAATCAAGATGTCAAAATCGGCTGAGACACCCAGTACTGTAGAAAGATCAGATCGATGCTCGAAGTATTTACGAAGTTATAGCGCATAAGAGATAGCGCACCGCACATAGCACGCGGCAGCCTCTACGACCGTCCCTCTGCTATTGTTTACGCAGTACCTTTATACTTGCGCCTATTGCATAAATCACCCAGAACAGCTGAAAATGACGACTATGATGAAACTGAAGGTATACTGTACGGACCAGGCATAGATGATTTGTAAGTGTTAATTTTTCATGAAAAATTTGTTACTAAGACTTTAAACGCGTTTTTCCCAAAATCAATTATTTTTCGTCGGCCCGGGTGATTAAAAAGAACTATCCAACCGAACAGGCTGAAATTTTTACACATTATTCTACACGTAAGTAGTTCTAGCCAGTACCAGAACTAGACATTTTTATCAAAAATGTCTTATTTTTTTCTTCGAGTTTTGACAAAAGAAACGTGATTTTTCGAGATTTTTTTTCACAAGTTCGCCAATTTTTTTTTCTTTTTTCGATAAAATCGTTTGAATCTAGTACCGGCCAGAATGACAAGCCTACAGAAAAATAATCAATCCGAACCTTTTGTTTTAGACAACTACAAGTGCTGCAATAACCCGGGCCAGCCACCTATCTTTTTTTTAGGGGTCCACTTTGACTGTAAAAAACAAGACGAAAACAATATTAAATTGATTTAAGAAAATTTTTTTGTATCATTTGAGATGCCAATTGAAACACATAAAATGATTGAAATGATTGTATTTCATTTTACTATCAAAAAAATTCCTGAAATAAGCTTAAAATTTTGGCCCGGACATAGGAATACGCCCTTAACTATACAGGGTGGTCCACATATCTTGAGACAGGTCAGTATCTTCTAAACAACACATTTTTGGACAAAACAAAAGTTGCCATGTATCAGAGGGCACATTAAATGGTCGGAATGGATTTTGTCAATGGACCGCCTTCATATGAAGGTCAACTTTATTTTTTTAAATGGAACACCCCATTTTTTATTATACTATCATATTCCTTAAGAAAAAATATATAACTTTTGTCCGAAAGATTTTTTCGTGGGTTGTCAGCTTCCCGAGATAAACCATTAAATATTTAAGAGGATGTGATGGGTAAAAACAAGTATAAGGATCATTGTATTAAATTTATAATCGCTTTATAATTTTCAACAAACATTTTACCGATTTTATGACAGAATTTGCTATTAAGGACGAAGCGAAAATTAAAGATCCTAAATGCATTGTATAAAAACGAAAAATTACTCTATTGCCAGCTATACCTGTGTAGCGTGCCCGTCGCGGTAGATAGGGATATTTAGGATTAGGAACAGGTGTAACAACCCGTGGAGCGCGGAAGCGCTTCGCTCTCAAGGCGCGGATGTGCAAATTAATAAAACTATTAATGATTCAATTTACTGGTCTTTAATATTTTGAAGTTCAATTCTAAACAGATCTTATGCCTTAAGAATTTACTGAGCGAGAACGATCAAGCGACAAAATCATTCTGCACGTTCTACGTTTGGCGGAGGAGATCTTCGCGCGTTGTCGGTCGATGCCCCTTCCTTGGTGGATCCTGGATCCTCCCTCAGGATCATCCCTCGTCTAATGGTGGAGGAGTCCACTCTGTCCTGTGTGGGCCCCTTCTCCTGGCCATGGTCCACCCTCAGGCGCGTGGAAGTGGAGGCGCTCTGCCAAGACGCTAGAACGTTGCAGCGCACATGTGCTACGAGAAAGCGTGGGACCCAGAGAAATTAGGAAACGACAAGACCTTGTACTTGCCAAAGCAACTCTTGAGGAAATTTACGACCCTCTTAGAGTGCATGAAAAGACAGGATATCGAAAAAGACTTCGTAGCTTTTAAGGACCGTTCATGACTTGGTCGAAAACAACGAATTGGCTATGGTCTATCATAAATTAGTCTTTTAAGAACTTTCGAAGTGAAACTATTCCATTCTCTGGATTTCCGGCCTTCTCTCAGCTCGATCTCCCACGTCGAGGGGGTTACAATTTAATCTTTGTCTACTTATATAAGGGTACGCATAGACGATGTTCGAATTTCGCTCTTAATTTATGACCATCGATACAAAGGTTCTCGAAGAACATTCAAGACATATCGATACAATAGACTATCGATAAATATTCCCATGGCAGTGTCGCCACACCACTCTAGACATATTCACGTGATAACGTTTCATGTTACACCTATAAAACGTCTTAGGTCAGAAACAGCTTTTATCGCAGTCGTTATTTTGTCTTTTTAAATATGCTCTCTTAGAATTTACCCTTCCTATATGCTGGCATTGTGATTGAAATTCAAGAATTGTCCTATAGCATGAAACTCGAGCGATACGCGAGACTGCCGCGCCAAGATCACTGCAGAGGGGTACCGGGCGACTCAACGTTTAATGCATTATGGTATATGGAAACTTTGACGGCTTTTTTCTAGGAGAAGGGTTGATTTCCGGCACATGGTTCCTTTCAGACTTTTTATCCCCTCGATGAGCACTATACGATAAGCCAATAAAAAAGTTTGACCTTGAAATTAGGGGTGAAGGTCAATTTTGCGGTCGCTTTCTTTGACAGATCTCCACCGATCCAGAGGTGCAGAATCACCCCATATAGGTCGTGACATTTAATTTTTTTACACCCTGTACATCAGGAGTGCTGCCAATTTCGGATACGATCGATACAATTACAAATGTTTTCAGCCGGACCTATAACGTTCCGCTTTTTCTCTTACGACTTATTAATTACCAAGTTTGCCATACCGCAATCAAATCGTTATTGGCAGCATCGTTTGTTCGGGTATTTTTAATTTTGCGCCGCCTCCGAAAACTTTGAAATGTATTTGATATCCTATTTAACGATTAAGTAGATATTATTAATAGCTATGGAATATTGATAGAAATGAAATAGAAATTATTTTACGCTTTTTAGTGCATTTCGAAGTCGGATTTGTTTTTTGTTAAAAATTATTTTATTTCACACTTTTTAGTGGAACCAGTAGTATTTATAGGATAGTGTAAGGTGATTTTGGGTTTCTGTCGCTTAGGTAATAACCATAAACCGAAAAAAGTTGACCGAATTTAAATGGTTAATAAACAACAAATTTCATAAATTTTTGGGAGTGGGATCATCGCGGATATACAGGGTGTCACGCGACTACCTCGACAGCCGAAGAGGGATGATTGCTAAGGTGATTCTAAACAATTTTTTCCTTTGCCAAAATGTTGGTTCGTTTTCGAGTTATTAACAAAAACCACCGACCAATCCAAGCGCGTACAGCGCGCGGGCTCAGGGACTGCAATGTCGGCTACGAATACCGGGCCTGACGTAGGTCGCGAACGAACGGCTCGGCACCCCGTTGGCATAGCACAATAAAAGAACTGAACTGGTAGAACATTTTTAATCGTTGTTTAGAATGCACACCGAACCTAATCTCTTGTCGCCTGTCATAATGTAAAAAAGGAAATTCTAAGCATTCTAACCAACAAATAAATAATAAAAATTGACATCATACTATGGATTAGTTATCCGGAGAAATATTCGTAGTCTTGAAGATATAAAGAGAGATATAATGGCCTCTTATTATCACTTATGCTCCACCAATGAAAAACCGAGACACGAGTACTGTCCACCGGGAAACGATATCTGTTGCAACTTGGAGCTCTTTGAGCACCCTGCACCATTGCACCCAGATGTGCAGAAATATATCCTACCCATCTACGAAGATTTATCTCGAGAAGATATACTCCAAAGATGCTTGGGCGGCCACACGCAGAATACTAACGAGAGTTTTAACTCAACCATTTGGCGCTTCATACCAAAGCACCTGCATTCTGGACTGAAAATCATCGAAATTGCACCATATTTGGCAGCCGGCTTGTTCAATGAAGGGTATGCTTCAATTTTACAAACTATGAGCACTTTGGAGATCATAATTGGGAAGCAATCAAAAACGTACGCCGACAAAATCGACGATCATCGAGTGATTCGACAGGAACGGCGCAGCTCTCTAATGACCAAAGAGGCTCGAAAAGCACGAAAAGAAGAAATTAAAACTACATTTTCAAAATCGGTGTAAGCGATAACTCAAAAACTATTTGATTGATCTTGTTGAAATTTTGCACACGTATTTATAACAATATTACCTTATACTTGAACCGAAAGATATGAAATAAATTGAAAATAAAAGTACTTTTTTCGTGCAAAATGTAGCAAAAATTTCGTGTAAAATTCAAAGCTTTTATTTAAAAGCGTGCCATTTCTTCAATTTTCCATATTTTGCACTTTCTTTTGATTCACCGACACCCTATGAATGTTAATTATCGAAATACTTTTTACTGGTTTGTTTCAGATCAATACAGCCAAAGCTAGAGCTTACACCGTTTCACAAGACACGTTACAACATTTCCGAAAGACCATGCCATAGTTCTGCCATTTTGGAATAATTTCAAAAAAATAAAATACATTGTAATAAAGAAAAATTATAATAAATGATGTACCCAAAGTTTTAAAAATAAAAAACAAATCTTTCCCTTTCAAAAAAACTAGTGGAATGTCCCGTGCTATGCACGAGGAATTAAACAGTTAAAATATAAATCAGTTAAAATATAAATTTGACTTTGCCCACCATCCACCCCAGCTCCAATTCCATGATATTAAACCAAATAAAACTTTTAATTAAAAACCTCGTTGTAAACTACATTGTGTTGTAAAAATGCATCAATTTGATTTGTTCGAAAATTTGTTGCGCAGGATCCGCTATTATCTTATGGAAACGTTGACCCTTGCGCAGTTCTAAATCGTAAGAGATAGACATGCGCAGTAAATTTTTACAGAGTAATCAAAGAAAAAGTAGTCGAAGCAGCCACAATGATGACGTAATTAGTTTTTATGTATCCCTTAAAAAGTGTCTCTTAGTAAGGGTTTTACTGTACTATCATTGTAAGAGTACACATATAATATTTTTTTGCCTTGTTTTCGAGCATACGTACAACGTCTCAGCGTAATTCACGGACATGTTTCTGCGTTATAATATGATGCATAAAAATCAGCTCATTTTCACCTGCCTAAAGGTATTTCCCCCCTTAAGAGACATGATGTTAAGAGGATTTGGAAAAGGACAATAATAGCGAGGTGGAATGGGAAACGGAATTTTTCGAAGAGGATAAAGAGGCTAGGGAGTTTCTAGAGAGGCGGCGAAAAAAGCAGACGCGACCGCCACAATAGAAGAAGATAAAAAAATTGAAGGGTTGGCAGACACGAAGAACCAGTCCAATCAGAAGGCGGCAGAGGTTAGCAGCGCTGAAGGAAGTGTGCAAGGCGTGGTACAAAGATCGGATACAACGCAGCTGGAAAATAGTGGTTTGGAAGTGTGGACGATCGTGGATTCAAAGAAAAATAGACAAAGGGAAAGAGGAGCGGAAGAAGATATAGACGTCGAAGGTAAAAGAAGAGATAGAAAGGAGAATAAAGGAAATGAATTGGAAAGTAATGCTTGTAGTTCTAATACAGAGATGCACGTGGCGGAAACAAACGATACGCCATTAGCGGAATGCACAAATGACAAACGGACAAAAGACAAAGGAACCTTGAGAAGTAAGGAAAACAAGAAGGAAAAACGAGAAGTTGGAAAAGAATATAGACAAAGAAGGAGACAAAGAGGTGAGAAGACGGTACTTTACACTGAAGAGCTTAAGAGTGGGGAATACAGTCACAATTTTACTAAAAAAGACCTCGAACAGTAAAATAAAAAGACACAATGTTATTAGAATATATAAGTGTATGGGAAAGGAGGAAAAATATGTTCGAGGGTTTAAGATAGTTGGTTTTAATACGGCGGAGCTGACCTTTGGTAACATGGACGCGGCGAACCGCATTCTGGAAAGATCAGAAGAGGAAGCAGCCCAGTTTGAGGCATACCTACCAGAAAGGAAAAAGGTGAGAAGAGGAGTTATTACGGAATGGAAGGAGTCTTTGGAAGAATTGGAGAAATCAATTTTACTTTGGAAAGGCTTAAAAGGAAGGTGATAAAGGATGGGAAAGTGGAATGGATGGAAGGTAACGCAATATTGGCGACCTTCAAGGGGGGACCAGCTCCCAACGAAATTGCTGATAGGATATGGGCATGTTTGGCTCAACGTCCTACCCTACATTGAAGCTGTAAAACAGTGTTACAAGTGATTTGCCTTTGGGCACATACAGGCCCAATGCCAAAATAAATTTAAGAAGTATCTGATATGTCTGGAGCCCTCGCATGGGCGATCTAATAAAAAGGCAGTGTGTGCTAACTGTGGAGGGGCATACACAAGCCTGACGAAGATCTGCTGGAAATTCCAGAAGGAAAAAGTAATCAAGAAAGTAATGACGTACAAAAACGTGGCGTATGCCACAGCAGGTGATATTGTCTTGAATGAGTTGGGCATAAAAGGACTGGGTGAATACGAGGGAAGAGGTCCGGAAAGCAGGGACTTCCCTGCACTAAGGATTAAAAAGAAGGAGTTTTGGGAGAAAAAGGAGATACCGATAGAGGAGGAGCTGGAAGGAAGAAGGAAATCAATGCAGGATATGGAACACAGAGATAAGGAGAGACAAAGGTGGAACAAAGTGGAGGTAAAGATGAGGAGGGAGATTAATCAGCCGCGAGGGAGAGAGAGGCTTAGACAGACTACCAACTACGAATTAAAAATCCCTAAGAAAACAAGACGAAAAATAAATAGACAAAAGGAATTGGCCCTTGCGAGGGAAACAGTCAAGCAAAAGAATCGTAAAGAATTGGAAGAACCCAGGAATGAACCTGGGCCATCATGGTGGAGGAGAGAAGAGAAGAGAGAAGCGGAAAAAGAAAGAAGAGAGGAAGAAAGAAGACGAAAAAGGCTAGAAGAGTTGAAGAAGGGAGCCTTTGGAGTCCTCTTCTGTAGGAAGGACCAAGAAGAAGGGGAATCGGACGAAGAAGGAGAACGAGAGGGGAAAAGGGACGAAATGAAAGAAAGAAAGAATGAATGGCGTTATGGAAATTTTGTGTTCAGCCAAAAGGATTGCGGATACCTTTATGTTCAAGCGACTTTTTCCGTCAGGGCTATTTGTTCTTCTGTTTGGTAATGTATCGTTTGTGCTGTTAGATTATATGTTTAAGTTTAAGGCTAAATGTGAAAGAAAAGAAAGGTTTGGAACGTTCTAAGGTGTAGGATATGGTATAAATATATGGAAACAAATGATCATAATGACAAAAGAATTGCAAGGATTGGAATAATTTGCATAAAATTAATGCCGGGCGCAAAACCCATCAATGTTAGACCGTATCGACTACCTCAGATACATAAAGAGGAGGTAGATCGGCAGGTACGAGAAATGCTGAAGCAAGAAATAGTAGAATGCTCCACTGTTGGTAATCCCAAAAAAATCTGGAGAATCAGGTAGCACCAAATATCGAGTAGTTGTGGACTTCCGAAAATTAAATGATATAACAACAGAAGATTCGTTCCCACTAGCTAACATAACCGACTTACTAGACCAATTGGGGGGAGCGAAGTATTTTACAACATTAGATCTAAAATCGGGATTTCATCAAATCGCAATGGACGCGGCGGATCGAGAAAAACCGGCATTTTCGACTCCCCACGGACACTTCGAATTTAAACGAATGCCGTTCGGGCTAAAAGGTGCCCCTCCGACCTTTCAAAGGGCTATGGAATCCTTGCTAGGTGGATTACGTGGCCTCAAATGTTTCATCTACATATATGATGTAGTTATCCATGGACGATCGCTAAAGGAACATCAAGAAAGATTAGCTGAAATATTTGCGAGATTAAGAGAAAGCTGGCTAAAATTGCAGCCCGACAAATGCCAATTTCTACGCAAAGAGACATTGTACCTAGGGCACGTAATTACAGAAGAGGGCATTAAACCGGACCCCTCTAAATTAGAAGCGGTAAAAAATTTCCCGATACCAAAGAAGGTTAAAGATCTCCAATGTTTTCTAAGACTAGCAAGTTTACTACCGTAAGTTTATAGAACATTTTTCAAAAATCGCGAAGCCTCTAACACAGCTATTAAAAAAGGACGTAGAATTCATATGGTCAGATCAAGAATAAGAAGCTTTCGACATATTAAAGGAAAAAAAAAAAAGATCACGATGGTAAAGATTTACCGATAGCTTACACGAGCAGGGTATTGAACAAGGCCGAAATAAATTACAGCACCACGTAAAAAGAATTGTTAGCAATTGTTTGGACGACTCAGCGTTTTCGTCCTTAGCTATATGGAACTAAATTTACGATAGCAACCGACCACAAACCTCTCACATGGCTTTTTAGCGTAAAAGATCCGGAATCTAGATTAATCAGATGGCGTTTAAAGCTAGAAGAATACAATTACTAAATTAAATATAAAGAAGGTAAAAGGAATCAAAACGCTAATGCTTTAAGTAGAATGTTCGTAGTCAAGCACGGCCGAAGCCGACCAAGAAAGCACCTGGTAGATCTCGCTCCGATGGTACCTAATACGGACAGAACAGACGGAACGCTACAAGACAAGGTAGCGAAACGCGGCCGAGTTAAGGTAAGGAAAATGCTGATAGCAAATGACCAAACAGCAACCTGTACTCCAGACAACGCGTAACAAGGCGATATAGAGGACAATAAATTAGAAGAAAGCGAAATTCGGGACGAGTTTGACGCTGACTCGACAGACTCAAAGAATGACACACTTACAGAGGACGAAAAAGGACAAATACTGTACGAGTATCACAACACGCCTTTGGGTGGACACCTAGGAGTAAAACGAACTTTAAAACGCATTCTATTAAAATACTCCTGGCCAGGTATAAAACGAGACGTAGAAAATTATATTGCCAAATGCATTAAATGTCAAAGGAATAAATTACACAAAACAACAAAGGCCCCCATGGTCATAACAGATACACCATCCACTCCTTTTCAAAAATGTGCATTAGATATTGTAGGACCAAGAAGGCAACTCATTACCAACATCTTTAATAGACCAATTTCAAATTAAAAACGCCAACATTAAACTCTTTAACGAATCCATCTCGAACATAAATTATAACGAACAGACGTTACTAAAAGCTACCAAAACACTTGGACGATTACTAGAAACACAAAAACATGACGAACACACACAATCCATAATTGACGAAACGGCAATAATCATTGAAAATATTGTATAATAAGAAATTTAGCGGAAGATGTCAAAAATCTATTACAATTCACACAGGATATCAAAAAGGGAATTCTCAACCCAACAGTCATATCTCCAACACAACTTAGTAATTGTTTAAATAAGGCTTTACCACATATACCAAAGGGTTTAAGCTTTCCACTATCGCTCTCGACCGAAAATATAAATTTACTATATCAAATAATTAACTTAGCGGCTTACTCATCTCCACATTCCGTAACAACAATAATCGAAATTCTGTTACTAAATCAAAAGTATTATAAATTACATAAAGTACACTCCGTACCAACGAAAATTAATGGCTCAATCTATGCGTTTTAACATTAATAACAATAAACACTAAAAATCAAAATTATATGCGAATTAACAGCGAAGATCTAGATAAATCTAAAACACTAAACCGCAATTACTTATGTAAATCACACCATCCGACATTCAAAATAGCATCTCATAGTCCTTGTAAAATTCAAATTTCTGCGAAAATAACCAAACAACCTGACAATTGTAATATCAAAATTATGTATATTAATCAAACGATGCTTATCGAATTGCAACAAACCCATCCAATTAATAATTGTCTGTGATCAACACTCTGCTCAAAATGTACAGTTACAAGACTCTGATACTTAGCAAATAAAAGAAAAATGTACAATATTGACTACAGAATTCACAATCGAAACCGGAAAAGTCTATGAATCAAAAACAATTTTAAATTACTTACCATCATATAACCTAACTATACCGAATTTATCCGAAACGGTAGATGCGACTCAACTAAAATGGATCAAAAATTACAAATTGCGTAAAATAATCAAACATTCAGAAGAGTTAAATACGATCAGTAAAAGCCTATTAGATTTAAAGTCCGACTTAACCCAAACACATATGATTCCCGTAGAATATCATTACAGTTTAATTTCTTCAATATCAATCAGCGGAATAATAATAATCAATGTAATCGTAATAATTTGTTACAAATATATTCATCGATTCAAATGTAATAATAGAAATCAAGAACAAAATGTGCCACAAATTGAAATGGAAGAGATAAACACCAATACAACGGAAAGGTTATTACAAATAGACCCGCCAATCATTGTTTTACCCAAACCGAAAAGGCTTAATCGAAAACGAATAATATAAATAATCTTCGCCATTATATTGTTACATGATTATATCATTGTATTATCGCATTACTATTTCATTATCTTACTATTTTATTATACACATCTATACTAATATATAAAGCTGTAAGCATTTTCTTTGTTCGGGGTAATCTCCAAATCTACTGCTTCGATTTTGATCCGATTTTTTTTTAAATGTTCCTTATAACCTTGCGAAGGACATAGGCTCAGTTTTATTACGCTGTTGCATCGGGAAACGTATAAAATATTGTTTATTTCGTTTGTGTAAATCGTAGCGCAGAACAGTTCAGCAGAACTGCTAATCCCCACCGCTGCTGTGTTTACATAGTAGTGGGAATACCTTCGTACCTCTGCGGTGGGGATGGATGGCGACGCTGTCGGTGCTGCTTCCCGCATTCAGCATTCATACACTCACAGACAAAATACCACCCGGGCAGCGCCGGGTAACACAGCTAGTATTATTATACTTCTATATCACTATATTATTATATTATCGTACTATCACATTGTTATATACTTTATTGTATCACTCTATTATATTCCATTGTTCTATTACGTTATATTATGCAATTTTTTAAAAAATAAGGTCGAGATCGCAAGCGCTCTCTCTCCAAGGGGGGAGAGATGCTGTGCCCAGCATTACGCCTAGGGTTGCGAATACATACTAGGAATGCTGCACGCAGTATTATATGTACGTACTTGAAATTATACCGCGTGATCGTCCGAGCGAACGTCTTCTCGCGGACCAAGAAATGCGAATTCAGCGTTAGCGCAACGTGTGACGGATGTCCAAATATGGTCATCCCCACTAGTAAGCCTTGGTAAAACCAAGGTGATAAAAAAAAAACAAAATACATACACATCGAATTGAGTATCCTCCTCCTTTTCGAAGTCGGATAAAAAGGGTAAGAGACGCCCAGAAGATAGAGTTCGCAAAAGAAGTCAATAGAGTTTTTAGCCATAAGTATCAGAACAATAAATAAGAATAGGTTTATGGTATATTCTCGTCACACCCGACGTACGGTGAATTCGAAATTCTTTAACCGCTCCAAAACCCAAGCATCCCATATAATCTTGTGCGCCGAGGGCACAACACTTTAAGATAAATAAACATTTGTATTCACTGTAACATTGCTATTGCAGTGCGCACAAATAGAAAACGTAATATTCCGCACTACTTCGTAACGCTTTGACGACGTTACTGGTCTTCCTTTCCAACTTCAAATGGAACTGCTAGCTTTAGCGTCTGCGAAGTCTCTTTTGCTCTTTGTCTTTTTCTACAATCGGAAATAGGTCATGGTTCCGAGAGGTAACCGAGAGTAAGCGAGAGAGGCTTCTGTCGACTCTTTGAATATAGCCGGACGTAGAAAAGGGTAAAAAGCGAAAAAGAACCTCGCAAACGCTCAACCTAACAGTCTCATTTGAAGTTGGAAAGGACAACCAGTAACGTCGTGAAAACGTTACGTCGTAGTGCGGAATATTACATGTATTTCATTTGTGCCCAGTGCAATAGCAACGTGACAGTGAATACAAATGTTTATTTACTTGAAAGAATTGGACCCTTTCGGACCATCTAG